AATGTTCTGATGGTTGATTCCTTCCCTCTAGTGTTTGTTTCCTTGTCTACAAATGGGAGGAGTTAGACTCAGCCTTGAAGGTTGACTACCTGTTTTGTGCTTAGCCAACCATTAGATGCCAGGAGTACAGAGCTGATAAATGATAATGTTTCCCTCTGCCTGGCACAGGATTGAGATGCTTTGTTGCCTCATTTAATCTCATAACCATTGTTTAGAATAGATGGTGTTCTCTTTTCCATTTTGGGAGACTTAGTGTTAGGTTAACATGCCTGAGGTTATGCATTCCGCAGATAGGTATGTCCAGGGGCCTGAGATATTAGCAATGAGTACATCAAGCACAGTTCCCATGTTGGCCGGAATCTGTAACAGTGATGAGTATTGGAAGATGGGTCCTGCGGGGTTCCCGTGCCCTCTGGGGGAGTATACCTAGTTTAAAGGATAAGTGACAAATGGAAGTGAAGTGACAAATGGGCGGGAGACTTGGAACAAAGGAGAACTATGTGTAGAAGGTCATGAGGTAGGAAGAACTGGACACAAGGTAAAAGAACTTGAAGGAAGACCATTGTGGGAGAGCATAGTAACCAGTCATGAGGCAAAATGGTGTTGGAGAGATGACACCAGCTGTGTCACACAGGTCTGTGTGAACCATCGGATGAGTTTTGGTCTTTAGCCTAAAGACAGGAAGAGACCTTTGAGGAATTTTAAGCAAGGAATTAAAAAATTCTAATTCAGTTTTTAGATTATCCTGGCTATTAGAGGAAGAGTGGTTTGGAATGGGGGTGTGAGTGTAAATGCGGTAGGATCAGCCAATCAGGAGTGTGTTGGTAGTGGCTCAGTCTGGTTGGTGGCAGTGAAGTTGGGAGAGGACTGGGCAGGTTTGAGATATACACTGGCCTGAGATAGGGTGATGAGAGATCGGAAGTCATATGCCTCCCAGATGGTTTTTTAGTAGGTGAGGTGATAGTGTGGTACCATCCACTGGGTGGTAGAGAACACTGGATCAAGTTGAGCTTGGCCATATTGAGTTTTTGGTCTGTGGGTTGGGTAATCAGAGATGTTGGTAGACAGCTAGAATTCATTTGGAAGGGAAGAGGTCAGGGCTGGATGTCTCTCTCTGAGTTGCTAACACAGGGCAGCAACACATGCAAGTCACAAGAAGATACATGATTGCTTGAGAGAGTGATGAGGACCTGAGATAGAGCCTTCAGGTGAAGGACCCACAGATAAGGACCAAAGGAAGATGGCCCTATAATGGGCAGTAATTTTAGGAGGGGGAAGTGGTCAGTAATGCTAGCTGCTGCTTAAGAGCTCCATGAGAGGAGACCTGAAAGTTAAGGGTTTCTGCAGTTTAAAAACATGGAAGCCACCCTGGCAGTATCATTTGGTGGAGCATGGGGCAGGCTCTTAATGGAAAAGGACTGAGTAATACTTGACTGAGAAAGGAAAACCAAATGTAGACAAAAATCTTTGAATTCAATCTCTGGTCAAAAGACAAAAATACTTTGGTTATAAGAGAAAGTGGTTGTAAAGGAGGCCTTTTGTGTTGAGATGGGAGAAACATGGGCTTGAAAATACAGTGCAGAGTGAATAATTGATTGTATAGGATCCCCAGGATGGGTGTACATAGGATTTGGAGCACAAATTTGGGATAAATGATGTACTGCTGCCATTACTGTGGGATGGGGGTGGGAGGCTGTCCACAGGGATGCACTTGTAGATTTGAGGGTATGTGTGCTCCAAGGAACATCCTGGCTTGTAGCTTCTCTAGAGAGAGAGAAATATTGATTTGTTTGTTCCACTTATTTATGCATTCATTGGTTGATTTTTGTATGTGCTCTGACCGGGGATTGAACCCACAACCTTGGTGTATTGGGATGATGCTCTAACCAACCAAGCTACCCAGTCAGGGCAATATTCATTTCTTTATTCAGAAGTAGTATATTCACTATTCAGCCTCCTTTTGCCTTTAGGAATGTCAAGTTGCTTTGGAAATACTGGCAGTGCAGTGTGGGGAAGGAAGTAGATTGTGTTCAGGGTTATTGGACAAGTGCTTGGGTAGGCTAGGGGTGAGGGAGAAAAGGGTCAGAGCAGGGGTGCTTGAGTTGAGCCCAAAGGAATTCACTAGGAAGGTGACAAAAGAAAGGCTGTTCCCAGCAAAAGATGTAGCACACATAAAAGTGTCAAGGCCAGAGAGGGTATATATGTTCAGGAGATGGGAAAGTAAGAGGAAGTTGGGGTCAGGTTTGTCCAGATCTGTAATGGGCCAGTGGATGTTCTGGGTTATACCCTTGACTTGTGAGTGATATATTTGGGACTTTTGTGATTCCCCAAATTCAGGAGTACCAATTTTACAGATTTTTTCCCCCCCATTAAATGTATCATGAGTGAAGAAATTTGAAGCTGCCGAGGTGAGTGAAGCTAGGCAGATTTGTAAGATTTGGCTAAGCGGTTCATTCCTGCATGCCAGTCTCCTCGGTCATGAGATTAGCATCCTGTCAAAGACCTAGTTACTCTGAAATGGTCAAACATACAACTGTCTGGACAGTGGGTCAAGCGCCTTGTTTTAACAGTGGAGCTTCGGAGGGAGGGATTCCTGGGGGTGGGATGGGGTAGCTGTGGGCAGCACACCTCTTATATCTGTCCTGCCTATTTGCAGACCTGCTTCGGATGTTCTTTGATGCGTTGTACGATGAGGACGTGCTGAAGGAGGATGCCTTCTACAGCTGGGAGAGTAGCAAGGACCCCGCTGAGCAGCAGGGCAAGGGCGTGGCCCTTAAATCTGTCACAGGCTTCTTCAAGTGGCTTCGTGAGGGGGACGAGGAGTCCGACCACAACTGAGGGCCGGTTGGGGTCGGGGACTTGGAACCCCGTGGACACTCGGATGGCCCAGCCAGCTGCCCGGACTGCAGGGGGGTCAGCAGCAGCGGCGGTGGCAGTGGGTGCCTGTAGTGCGATGTGTCTGAGCTAATAAAGTGGCTGAAGAGGCAGGATGGCTTGGGGCTGCCTGGGACCCCCTCCAGGATGCTGCCAGGTGTCCCTCTACTCCCCCCTGGGGCACAGAGATATATTATATATAAAGTCTTGAAATTTGGTGTGTCTTGGGGGGGGCACCACTGCCTGCCCCTGGGGTCCTTTTTTTATTTTCTGAAAATCACTCTTGGGACTGCCGTCCTCGCTGCTGGGGGCATATGCCCCAGCCCCTGCACCACCCCTGCTGCTGCTTGGGCAGGGGGAAGGGGGGGCACGGTGCCTGTAATTATTAAACATGAATTCAATTAAGCTCACTGCCTCTCTGCTTTATGGCCTTCTCCCTCTGGAGAACGGGTATGGATTGGTGGGCAGCCTCCTTTCCAGAGCTGGCACTACAGCACAGTTTTCCTACAACTTGGCACCTCTCTTGCCTCTTCCCCTGTCCATGATTACGGGAGCTGGGAATCACTTTCTTGGAGGGTTTGGCCCTCAAAGTGGATGTGGTTGGGTGCCCTGTTGATTAGGAGGGGAGGGGGACAAATAGCTGTGGGGTACTTAGCAGCATACACTTGGCTAGTTTTGCTTTCCTACCAGAAATGTGTTCCAAATCCCTTTTCCGTGGAGAAGGTCCTGGGTTTTAAAGCTGTTTATAGCTGGGGAGTCCTTTCTGGTTCCAAGGTCTCACCTATAAAATGGGGTTGGATGCAGTGAGGTCTTATATCCCCATACGGGGCTACTGGCAGCTTGGGCGCAGTGAGTGCCCTCCTCTTCGCCCCCTCCCCTTCTCCTGTGCTCCACCCGCCTTAAGGGGTCGTTCGGTAGTTGGGCCTTTGAGCAGAGGACAAGATTTTTTCCGTACTCCGCCCCAGGCCTCCCCTGCGTGGCCCTGACGCCGGCTTGTCCCCGCCCGCTTTAGGTGGTGACGCGGAAGGCCACGCCCCCACGTTGACGTCACCGGCCCGGTTCCCTCTCCCGGGAGCGGCGGCGGACGCGCGGCTCCCACCCCCTCCCCTCACGGGTTCTCCCCTCCCCGGTGGCGGCCGCGGCCCGAC